CAAAGAGTAAATTAGCATGCGCGAAAATGACTGATAGTGTGTTTAATTGAAATGTATAGCCATACATATATACATACAGTGGGGAGCAGAAATGAGTACAGGGTGATTTTTATTAAATATTTGCAAGGTTTTTAAAGTGAAAATTTTGTTGTATTTTTGTGTAATTATTTTTTATTTTTTTTTGAATACATGAAACAACAACACAATTATCCCATCATGCTAATAGTCTAAGGTCCGACAAAGGCACGACCTTCACTCATCTGTTTAATGGATGAAATCTTTATTCTATAAAATTTAACGTGTTAATAAATATTTTGCGAGTAGGTTGGCTGCTTTCGATTGGCATATATGCAATTCTTTCATTAAACAAATGAGTGCAAAATTAAACAAAAAAATGTATAATAATTTTTGAATATTTATTTTATTGAATATAATTTTTAATATATTAAAAATATTCTGGCCAGCCAGCCAACCCACTTGCGAAATATTTCCTAACAGGTTAAAGTTCATACAAAGTAGTTTTCATGTGCATTAAACAGATAAATGAAGGTCGTGCCTTTGTCGGATTTCCTACTATAATTATGATATGCAATGGATCGAGAATACCCCTATTGGCTTTCCTGTGTTTGCATAGGTCAAATTCATTCTAGGTATTATAATAATGCTCGCAGCATAAAATTAAATCAATTTGATTGAGCTATCGCAATTTCTGACAAACACTTGTTATGCTCGTATGCAAAAAAGCAATTAAAAAGAAAGAAGTAATTTTTAAGCAAAAAACACAACCGACTTTAATTCTAATATATAATCGGATGTAACTAAATTAGTATGGGACCACCTGTGAGACACTACATTTGCGATAGAAATCGGTTGACGTGGCCCAAATTTATGCGGTAAAATACATAAAAAAATATTCCGACGATTTGATAACCTGCTCCTTTTTTGAAGTCGATTAAAAAGAAAATAAAAGTAGGAAAAAAGGATATGCATATGCTACATACATACAACAACGTTTTTTTTTTTTAATACAAATACGTAGTGGGATTTTGTTTTCAATTTTTAGCTGCTTGTTGTATGTCATCGTGTAATGGATGCGTGATATTTTTTTATGAATATGTATGTTTATGTATATGTATGTTTGTATGTATGCGTATATTTATTCGCGAGAATGTTTATTTATGTGATTTATTTTTTTATTTTTTGGTTTATTTATGTAATTTTTTGCTAATTAGGCCTGTTAGATTTGCAGTAATCAGTTTAGTTGTTTCGAAGCCAATTTCCGCCGGAAGTACAAAAAAAAAAACAAAAACAATCTACTTTTTCATTTCCATGTTTTGGGTTCGATAATTTCAAACTAAGTACAAATATTTCATGCAAACATTTTCACTATACATTTTTCCGCCAGTGCTCTTCTGATTTATTCGCAATAAATAATTACATTAATTTCCTCATTTGCCTTATTTGTGTCATTTCTCAAAAAAAGCATTATCCTTAATAACTAGTACCTAATCATATACATACACATTTTTTATTTTTTGTTCTCTTGCTTTAAACTATACTTTTTTTATATTTGCTGTTTTGCTGGTGATTTCTGGTGAGATTTTTAATTCTCATGCGTGCACGAAAATTACATATAAATATGTATGTATGTAGGCTTTATTTATTTGATTTTCCTATTTTTTTTTCTTTGTTTATTTTTCTTTTTGTTGTATACTCTTTTTAAACGGTAATGGTATGCATGTGTTTTTGTTTCATATTTCATCAGAATCCAATTTTAGCAAAGTAGCAATTGTTGTATTTATTAGCTAAAAATGCTTATAATTGATAGGTTCACACTTCATCTGCTTGTTTTAGGTTTAGGGTTTTCATTTTTATAATTTTGTCTCGTACTTGGCTGCAGCTTAATTTAATAAATAAATAGTTTATCAGCTTCATTATTGGATAGCGTTTTTTTTTTCATTAGCTTACTCAATTACCGTCAATTAGACGATAGAATAAGGTTACTGTATATTTTCGCTGCTTGCCTTCGCTTTGGTTTTTATTTTTAGTTAGCTTTTTCAACTGATGTGCTTTTTTTGCTTAAATATTATCGCTTCTACCGTTTCATAATTTTCGGCTTCTATTTGTTTTTGTTTTGTTATTTAGTTTTGTTTCAAGCTCGCCAAAATTCTCTTAACTGGCTTCATATACGTACATACATAAGCATACATTTATCTTTTTAGCTTTCATTTTCTTTCTGCGAATGCAGTCGTCTGTAAATTTGAACGGCGTGTGAATGTACCGAAACTAATCTGTACAAATGTGTACATAAATAGGGTATTTAAAAATAAAACTTGTGACTTGCTTCCAGTGTTGCAGTTGAATTTTGTTAAATGCAGATGTCATGCACTCTCATGCGTTTGAATAGGGACAGTCGATTTTCTTCTGGGCTAACTTTTTTTTATTTAATTTCCATTATTTTTCGGTTAAATGGAAGTATATTTTCTAAAAAAAAAAACATTTAAATGACACTTTTAAACTATATAGAGAATTAAGAAAATTTTCTTAAAATTTCAAACTGTTTTCTCCGAATTTTTTTGAGCATGCAGTTTTGTATTCCATTCAATTTTAGCTAAAAAATGCAAGTTTTAAATGCATAGCTAAAAATTACCGTGGATTTTTTAAATTTTTTTCTGACGCTCTTCCGCAACTTTTTCCATATAGCGCATGCTCGCGTTTTTTATACTGAAAAAAAAAAAAAATCTGAGAAAAAGTGTAAAATTTTGATGATTTTTTTTTTAATTCTCTACAAAGTTTGAAACCTGCATACAAGCTATGGTTCTTGTTAGGGAATGAACTGTATTTTACAGGGATGTCGTACTCGTAGTTTTGTTCCCTAGAAAGTTAAAAACATAAACATGGGAATGAAACCTATGGGAGTGTTTTATCAAGAACGAAAGTCAGAAAAAAAACTCTCAGGAACATTCTCATCGGGAATTATATAAGAATAAAAAAGTCCTGGGGAACTTCGCAAAGGATGCATGTGGCACAACTATAAAATAAAAATAAGTTATATGATGAATATGTTAAACAAAGGTTATTATGAAATGAGCCTTTGCTTTAGCTCGGCCGAGTGGCGTAACAATACTTACGGAACATTTCTAAGAAAATAAAATGAGAACAAAATTAAAAATTTCAGAACCTAAATAAATACTTCTACCACAAAAGTTAAATGATGGATGATCGTTTCTTTAAATAAATGTTGCCCCTCCACGGCACAAAATATGCTTGATGTTACACTCACCCCTGTTAAAGGGCATGTTTTTGCCTTCTTTTCCTTGTTCAGCTCACGTCGTATTTCATAATATTGTCTTTTAAGCAACCATCTGGTTTTTAGGGCAATCATCAGCCCTGAAAAAGCTTTTAAGAAACGAACACAAAATATCCTCATCGAAAAAAGAGAGAAAAGGGCAATCGAAAGGCGACATTTTTCAGAAGAAACGAAAGCACCATGAAATAAAAAAAATGCTTTTCTTTCTAAAAACGAAAAATCTAAAAATTCCAATAAAAATATGAATTAAAGAAATTCATAAAAAAAAACAAAAAATGCGAGTAAATTTATATACTTTATTTCTTGCGCGAAGAATATATAAAGCTTAAAAGGGCCTTGCCCGCAGGCAAGGCGGTGTCCATCACCGATTTAACGCAATAAGAGTAAGTCGGAAGAATGGAGAGGACTTCTACCCGCATAAGAAAAAGGCAAATATAAAAAAAGCTAAGACAATGATACTCAAAGTGAGCTTTTACTCTATGTACGCCCATATAAAATCTACAAAAAGCTTTAAAAAATTTAAATTTTCTGCTTTATACTCCCTTTAGTAGAACTTCATTCAAATTAGCGTTGGCCATAGAAATCTTTTATTCGTTAACAGTCATATGTTACACGCACAAGCATCTTAAAAAAAACTTTGCAAAAACCAATCGTTATTTAAATTAGTGAAAATTAGAGAGAGATTTTATTTTGCATACATTTACATAACAATCTAAAATTTATTAAAAGCTTTAAAAAGCTTCTTGCGCTGGCTGCACTTCATATTAGAATAACTTTTGCTCATGTAAAAGTTCAGACGATTTTATTATTTTAGCAAAAAAAAACAACAAAACTATCGTATAGCGAAAAATAAGGAGAAGGTAGAATAAAAAATGTTCAATTTTTTTATTGTGGTATTGATTTATTTATTTTCACATCTATACTTTTATAACGCTGCAGTTGACAAACAATCATCATTATTTTTTACCGTTACACTCAAAAGCTTTTCATCATCATTAAATAGTACATACAACTATGTTGGCAACACTTTCCATTTTTTAAGGTAGGTAGCAGTTTCATATTGATTACTGTTTTTGTATTTGTATGAGTTTACAGTTTTAGTTGTTTATTCGTATTATTTATTAGCCTTAATTTAAATTTGCAAAGCAGCTATGTTTGTTATACATAAGTGCTAGCCAGCTCATATCGCCCATACTATCTTATTGCAAAGTTTCTGTTTCATTCATTGTTAGTTAGAAACATGTTAGAGGTATTCTCTTAGCCATGTAAAACCGTGTACAGATAGCATAAGAAAACCACTTCTATCGTGAAATTCGTGCATCGTGCAAGGCTCTTGCAAGACTTAGTGAATACCCCTATTACTCTTTTTCGTATTAATTGTTTTAAGATTCAGCAAGAACTAAACCATCAAAAAAAAAAAAAACAAAAATGAAAAACTGTAATAGCCAGTTTTATGAAAGAAATTTAAGTGAATAATGGTTTTTTTTTTTATTTGAATTTAATATGTAAATTGACAAAAAAAAAATATTTTTCACTTAAATTTCTTGCGTAAAACCGGTTGTAAGTGTTGCTGTGTTAGCATGATTTTTGTAGTTAGTATCAATAATTTATTGCTTACATACAGTTATTTGTTGCAGCAAATGCTGCTTCTTTAATCGTTTTTAGTTAAATATTCATTTACTTGCATTTATTTTTTATTTTCAAAAACTTATCACAAAATTTATTGGGCGGAATTTTAGCGTGTACGATACATAATATTATGTAATGAGCAGACGAAGAAGAGTATTAATTTATGTGAAACCTAAAGAAATTAGAATCATATATGTATGTACATACATACATATGCAATTAGATATGTATGTATGTATGTACGAAACTTTAAAATGAGTATACATATATATGTATGTACATATGTACGTGTTTGAGAATGTGATAACCAACTTCTTAGTCTCTAATTTGCTGTAACTTTTGACTTTTATTAATAGGTGTGTGTAGGTGTGTGTTTTTTTTTACTTATAATTCTTAACTTTTTTCACTTGCTTTCCTCTAATTTTCTACACTTTATAAGCTTATAAGCTAATGACGGCATAAAAATTCAATTCAAGAAAATTAATCGTATTACGAGCAGGATCTATGTATGTATGTAGATGCGTTTCTTCGCTATTTTTTGCGCTTGCTTTCCCTTTCTTTGGAATTGGTATAAATGGTAGGGGAGCTGGCGCCGGCGCTGGCGATGTGTAGGTGTATATGTGTAGGTATGTAGGTATGATGCATTTATTTACTATATTTGTTTGCAGGTTTACACACTTGTTTGCCTTTTACCTTCTGACAGTTTTTGCTTTTCTATTAAAATGAAAATAACATTCTTTACGATTTCTATTCGATTCTGGATATTTTTTAATTTAAATTTCTTAAATTTTGCAAATCTGCATAAGCATTGCAGCAAACTTCTTTTAATCAGCTCTTTTCTATTTTTCTACTTATTCCTTATTAGATACTAACAATATGTACTTTGCAATGGCAGCATTCAAAGTGTAAGCCGAATGCAAATCTGCGCATGAAAACCGAGCAATATAAATTTGAAAACAAAGTTTACGTTATCTGAGGTTGAGTGTGAGAAAATGAGCTAATAAACTATTTGTTTTTTGTTTAAATTTTCATCTTTATTTACTTATGCTGTTTCTCTTTATATAAAAATCAATTTCAATATAAAGTTAATTTTTTTTATCGCAAGCACTTTTAATTACCTACATATACATATTTTTCGTTTTGCATTCTCTACGCGTTTTTATGTAAATACAAAGGTTACTTGACTCTACATCAATGCTTGTTCGTCTTGCTCTTCTTCTTCTTCTTTGTTTTATTATATATGTGTATGTATGTACTTATGTAAATGTAGCTGTTTGCTTTAAATATATGTATGTTGTATATTTTTACTTGTGTAAAGTAATGCTTTAAGTAAATGAAAATCATAAGTTTGAGATATCATTTCTTACTTAACACTCTGGTGTTGCTTCACCTCTTGCACTCGTTGTTCGGTCGCTTTTGGCTACATACATACACACATATGTATGTATGTATGTATAAGAAATCCCAATTTATCTGCTCCAAATCATTCCTGCTGTTGAGCGTTTTTTTTTTTCAAAACTCTGCCACCATTAAGTTTTATTTCGCTTAGAATACCAGCATTTGATCGGCACTTCCTTCCGCACTGTCATCGTCGTCGGTATCCTCATCTTCATCGTCGGAGGTGAGCGATGAGGCATTATTCACAACAGACTCTGTGTCAACAAAGGAAATAGAGAAAGAAGAAAAGAAAACAAAAATTACCTTGTAGTGAAATGGGAATGCCGAGAGCTAAAAAGTTGTGCTGGCACATTAGTTAGTCAGTTTGACAGATTTGATTGGCTTAAAAGTTAAATTCGATCTACCCAATGCGGCGGAAGAACACTACTTTTACTTCTGTACGAAAGTATGTACTATGTGTACATGAATGTATGTATGAATTAGAGGTTTACGCCGACGGGCTTTGCGACGGCGGCGATGCCGGCGCTACTGCCCATAAGGCAGACTCCATGAGGCTAGTTATCTTATCATGTCATCTCGTCAGCGTTAGGCATTCGCCATGCCAATCCAGAATATAGTTCTACTTAATTCATTCTTGAATTGGTTTTTGAATTTAAATAGGGGCAGGGCTGAGGTATATACTAGAGATGGGCACGGGACATCGGGACTCGCGAGGGCCACGTACTAATTTCAAAATGGCTGGGATGCACGGTGTCGGGAAGGTATTTAATAATTTTGCGGGCGGGACGGGACTCCCGATAAAACTTGCAACCTCCGAAAATTCAGAAAATTTTCTTTAAAAACGTCTTATGAAATAAGCACTTTTTTATGTTTTATTGAGATGAAAACGAAATAACCGAAGATGCCAAATCTTTCATTGTTTTCGTTATTATTTAAAATTAATTTGAAATATGAATTAATCTTAGATAGATTTAGTCCCGTGCCCATCCCTAGTATATACATACATACATGGTTCTCTATGTTCTCTACTGATCTATAAAACAAATGAAAAATGAAGTTATTGGATTAATTTTTGTCGCTATTACAAATTTTTGAAATAATCTTATTTGCCGTTATGTTAAATTACGGAGTTCTTACGATTTTTTTTCGGATTGTGGATTGAAAACAAGGGCGGTCTACTTTTTACAAACAGTTTAAACCATCAACCAGAACGGGCCTTTTAACCCACTGTTTAAAAAGTCGCTTATAGATGGTTAAAATTTCCACTAAAATATTAAGCACCAAATTTTTCTAATCATAACCGAATGTAATGAAAAATAATACTAATTTTTACCAAAAAGCGTGAACTTTTATCCATTAAACATTGCGATGCGATGGAGCAAAACCTTCCTGGGTTTTGATCACCACTTAAGAATGCTAACGCGATTTTCACACAACCATCTATGCAGTACTTGTATACGTATGTGGGACCTCAGAATAAAATAACTTACGAATGTAAAAATTAGCCAAAAAAGGTTTTTTTACACGATTTTATTAGATTTAGCACGACTAAAAAAAGCCCCTTAATCGAAATTTTAATGAAAAAATTTTTTTGGGTGACATAATAATTGTGGCGAACTAGCGGCGAAAATAAAAAATTAAGGTATATTCCAAAGCGAATCTATAAAATGTGGTGCTACCGGCGAATTTAGATTTTCGCTACGATTGTACTGATTGTTAAAAAGATGTGTTCGTTGTAAATTGTTGTATTACGAATTCGCCTTGTTTACAACAAACACATAATGTTGACAATCTGCAAAACCGCAGCGAAAATCTAATTCGCCGGTAACACCACCTTGTATAGATTCGTCTTGGCATCATCACTGGCGCATTTTCGCCGTTGGATTCGTCGGATCTGTCAAAATATTGTGAATGTTACTGCCATCCCTAAATCGGCGCCTCAAGCGCCAAGCAACTGTCAAAAATCCTCATGCCTATACAATTTGTATGAAGCATCCCACAACAACGCGGCCTTAACGACGAGCAAATGGAATTTTAATTTTTAACAGGGCGTTACGTGTTGAAGTTGGTTGCAGAAGACGGAAAGAAAGAGAAATGACAAAAAGGTGAAAGAGGAAATGAAAATAAAAACGAGAGGACTTGAGAAAAATGTCAAAAATTACGCCGCGTTGATTTGGGGATAGCGCGCGCTGACACTCGTTGACAAATGGAAAACGCAACGCTTAGCGCTCCAATTTAGGGACGGCACTTATTTACATTCGCTTCGCCAAAGACATTCGCTTCACAACTCATAAAACCGTCAACTTTTCAAAATCTGTTTAGGGAATTTTCCTTTCTAATTTGTTTTCATAGCAGGTTAAGTATGTCTATTTTTGTATTGTTGTACATAAAAACTTAATAATATTTTTTTTTTTTGTATGAATAATTTATTTTAATTAACCTTTTTTCTATGTAATTCAGGTCCTTTTTTACACAGTTTTTATTAGACGCGGGTTTGTCTGGAACGTATAAAAACAGAATAAAGTATATATCACTATTCAATATAAAAAAATGTCGCCATTGTGACTAACTCTGTGGTCATTAAATGCTCATAATAAGCAACTCAAAGATCAACTAAAGCGTTCCATATGTTTTGCGTAATTTCCAAAAGCATAGATATTTGGCAAATCTAACCCATGCTTGTTGCCACTTAAACATATCATCTGTGAATATAATTGTAAACTTTGGATAATTCGAGTAACTTGTATGCCGGCACACTTGCATACTTGCGTAGTTTGTACTTCACCCATAAACTTGTGGGAAATCGGCAATCAGCAAGTCACTTGTGCCCCAGCAATATTTCCTTGGCACAAATCACTTTCAATGCAGAAGGGACATTTAATATTGGCAGCGTTATTCACCTTCGGCACCATAAGCCTACTAATTAAAGCCCAAGCGGCTAGTGGACAACAAGACAGCTGCTGCCAGCCATTGCCAAGCAATTAACTATGCAAGAAGTTTAAACTCGAAAGTTTTGCAACTGCCAACCCATGCTCTTAAGCAAGCTCGCATACTTAAAACTTTCTTTGGAATACTAAGTATGCAGCCATGCGGATTTTTTCTTTGTTTTATAGTTATTTGTAAAGTCATGTTCTTCCATTCACACATACCTACATACATACTCGCTAACTCTATAAGCCAATCGAATAACATGCCTATCTACTTACTAACCAATTTACCTGTGCCTTGATGTGAACAAATGAATTTACAAATTTGTCATGCAACAACTTACCACAGTTGGGTTTGCCTCGGGTGCGTGTGTTGGCGAATTCGACTCCATGCTTGTCCACACACCAGCATACGCCGACGGAGTTGTGACACTGGGTAGGCTTATAGAAGCCCTGAACATCGCAATCCGGTGCATAGGCGCCTTAAGTACGACAAAGTAGGCGATAGAGGAATTGACAAGGGAAGCATTAAACCGTAATTAGATTTGTATGTTAAAATTATTGCGGAAGTTGAAAGTGGCTTTTTGATTAGATATATAAAATATATAAAGCACAAGCGGATAAAAAAATGTTGTAATTAAGATTAACAACTAAAAAGCATTAAAGTGTGCTTAGAAGTAAAAGGAAAATATATTTGAGAAAGTAATATAAGTAAATACAAGTATATATGTATATGTGTAAGTAGTATAACTGGAAAATTTTGAAAAAAAATTTAATAAGCTCGATTTAAAATTAATGGTAATTCGGGTTGTACATTAAATATTTAAATATTACTAAGCGTATTCGAAAGCGTCTTAAAATCTCTATGCATTTATGTACAAAGTTCTGAAAAGTGAAAGCGCCATAATGCAGTGTAAAGTGCCAAAAAGTTTAAGCTTCAAAACAATTGTTTAAAAATTTTACTAAATTTATTTTGAGTGTGCGTGCGTATTATGTATGTAGTGTAGTTAGTGGTATTTCAACAAGAGTTTTCATATATGCATATACATACCTACATAAATAGTATCTATATAAAATATAAGTTTTTTTTGCCTTTTATCCTGCACTAATTGAAAGAAGGAAATCAACACGATATCAATATTCGATCTGGGGTCTGTAACACAAAGTTTATAAATGCAACAAGTCTACAAGTTATTATACTATTTGTTAAACTTGTAACTATCAGCGAAATATTCTACACTTGTAAATGTACCTTCTACAAGCATTTGTAGATGCATTTCGATTTGCACTTTAATATACAAATTTTGAATAGCCTTGATTTTGTTATTTACAAGCTAGAGCTCTTGTTAAAAATTGACTATCCGGCTACTCGGTTAGTCGACTAGTCGATTAGCAACTTTTTTGCGGGTTGATAGTCGAATTGCAATAATTCGATTAATTGCGCGCATTCGACTAACCGCTCACTATCGAGTAGACTAACCGAAATGATTCGAATAGTGATAGTTTTTCACCAGAAATTCGACTAGTTGTTTGTGAGCGGTTAGTTGAGAAAGGCGAAAAGAATCGGTTAGTCGATTATTTTTTGAAGTCAAAATAAAAAAATATATATTTGACTAAAAATGCATATTATATTCGCGCTAAAAATTAATTTAAAAACAATATTAACAAAAAAGTTTTGATGGAGATTTTAGTAGCGTGTAATGTCTTGTAACGTGACGACAGATAAAAAAGCAGGACAAATTTTTGCATTTTGGAACTTGGAAAATTAACCTCAAATATTTCAAATACTACTTCAAATAGTGTTGATCAAGTCCGAGAGTTTTCAAATCTTGACGGTTTCGTTTAATTTTATAACATTTTGTCATGCCAAGCCAGATGGGAATGGCCATATATTTGCACCTTTCCTCAGCCATATTAAAAACCAAGGAATGAAACCGATTCAAAATAACGTTTCGGTTTGGGTTTCGGTTTTGCCAAGTGTTTCGGTTTCGGTTTTGGTTTCGTTCTTCAAAATTTATTTCGGTTTTGGTTTCGGTTTCGCTCCGGTTTCGGTTTTTCACAGAAATTTTGTTAATATTATTTAAATCACAATGTCTTAAACGTTGAGGAAAGAAAATCGAAAATTACAGTTCACTGATAATATCAACACTAGGTTCTTTCCCTAACAATCGGGACCGGATTTGGTAATTAGAGAATAAGAGAAACATTTTCTTTCAAAAATGGAACAAAGTTCAGAAGTACGGAAACGCAAAAACCCACATTTCGTGCCCACAAGTCGAGAAACAGCTGATTCGCGTTGTTCTTGTTTTTGTCACTTATACCATGTTCTGACCGACATCGGAAACATGTTTTAGTTGCTAAAACTTTTTTTTCGATTATTTATCGAAGTGGAAGTCATATTTTATCATCTTTAATACGCCATTTCGGATTTATTGTTAATTGCCTGGCCAAAGCAAAATAAGAATGAAAGTTAAAGGTTGTAAATGAAAAGAAAATGAAGGAAAAATGTTTTTTTGTTGTCGGTCAGAACACGGTATTAAATGCAAACACTTGGAAATTGAATTTTGGTTTCACAAATTTGATTTTAAGTTCATAGATTGAAAATACATCAACAGGCCATTCACTTTTCCTTAAAAGCACCAAGTAAATGCAGGCAACATGTAAACACAATACAGCTGATATGCACTTTGACACTTTATCCATTTTTACTCGGAGAAAATTTCGGGCTGTTTCGGGCAGGAAGAAGAATACACTTACGATCGAATACGCTCGAATTTTCGCTCTCTATTACCCATTTTGTTGAGTACAGGCATGATTTCTGGGCTATTTTGGGCACACGCGGGATCTCGCATTGCGTACGGGAAAGAAACTACTTAAATATAATTAATCGATTATCGATTCACAACAACAAAGTCATCAGCAGATTTTTGCGAAAGTTACCTTGCCATACTTATTTACTACTTAACAAGAATTTTAGCAAAATGTTGCTGATTTTGGTTAAATAAATCATTTATTTCAAAGAAATTTTTATTTATTTATTATTTTTGTAAATTTCTGGAAACCGATTGAAACCTGTGATTGAAATGGTTTCGGTATCGTTCCTTTTCAGGTCAAGATAACGGTTACGGTTTCGGTTTCGGTTTTGAAAAACGAAACGGTTTTAAACGGTTACGGTTTCGGTTTGGGTTTCGGTTTCATTCCTTGTTAAAAACTATTTTTATTATAAAGTACAATATATTATTAATAGCATTAACTTTGTAATGCACCTTTACGATTCGATACGATACAAGGGTTCTGGTACTCGATTCCAAAAATATCGTTTGAAAACTATCGCTTAAAAAGTATCGGTATCGAATGGAAAAGATATTGATATGGTATCGTATCGAAATTCCTTGTCCCTATTAACAAGAGCTCTATTACGAGCATTTGTTTTCGGCGGACATATAGCTCTTGCGGTGAAAAATAACACATATATTATTAATTTAATACGGCTGCAAGGCAAACAATATTGAAAAAAGTTGCATTATTAACAAAAAGTGAAAGAAAATAAAGAAATTCTATCTTCAAGCACAGTTTCACACTGTTCTTGATTCAGTCTGAACCTGAGAAAGTACTCATTCTCTCTCGATACCGATACACTTTCGGTTTTCACTTTAGGAAGCACTTGACCACATATCGACAGAAAAATGGTATGCTAACGGCAAAATACATACTTCACTCAACTGAGTCTACTACTCAGCGTTCGAGATAGGTAGAAAATTGTTTACAATTGTACAAAAAGTTCAGTAAGTACAAGTGCGCCACTTGTACCTACCTACAAGTTGCTTTGTGTTTCAAAATATCTACATACACTTGTTTAACTGTTTAAGAAACTATTATTATTTATAAAAAATAAAACTCCATTTTTGGAGGTATTTTCAAATCGGTCCAGCTCACTTTAATCTTAATAATTTTCCGAAATATTTTGGTCGAACAAAATTTGCAGAAGAAATAATACAAACGGGTCAATACAAATTGAAATCACTTGTTGAAATACCCCTTTTAATCTGTTTTTGTTCAAATATTTACTACTAGCTAACTATTTACTACTAGCCAGTGTGTGTGTGTGTGTGTGTGTCTTCGTTTAGTTTGGCGATTCTACTCTCTTGTTTTTTTTTTACATTTTCTCTATGTGTAGCAGTTAAAAAACGAGGAATTTAAAGAAATAAATCATTTCAAGAAATAAAAGTCCACCTGTACCTATCTCACCTGCAAAGTCGCCAGCGATTCTTCGTCGAACCGCGGCGCATGGGCGATCGGTCTTCTCGAAGCAACGGCACCATTCGCGCGTATTAATCGAATTGTCCTGATCAAGATCGCAAGTATCGATGAATGGTTTAATGCAGCGCTCATTCTGATCATGTTCCAAATCGTACATTTCCTGTAGCGACAAATAGCCATCGTTGTTCAAATCCAAATGACCAAACATCCATTTAGCTTCGGTCTTGCAAGCGGGTGGGAAATGCGCCTTCGATTTTTGGCTATGCTGACGGCGTTTCTTGCTGTCAGCCATTATGACAGAAAACCAATCAAGCAGGCGATTGCCGATAGCGGTCAGCTGTTGTGGTTTACATTCGGGCGATTTGGATGGGAAACCTGTTGGGAGAAGGTGAAATGAGAGATTAAGCGATTAAAAGTGCTTCGCTGGTTGTGTTAGGTTGTGCTTATACATACATACATACATACATTTGTATGTCATGTAAGTGTTTACATATGTGTGTCGAGTTGAAAAGGTCACAATTAATGCGAGAAATAATGCAAATTGTAGTATTGATTGCTGTTGGTGATTGAGTGTTGTGTGGTGCTCTACACATATATACGCAGGCACATATGTACATACATATATATATGTATGTATTTATATACATACATGCAGATTTAAGTACATATATGTATATGTATGTACCTATAAGATTGCCTCTGATTGTGATTACGTACCATTGTTCAGGCTATTTTTGTTGTATTTTTGTGGTTTCTCGATAACCTCATTATAACCACGAATTTTATGTTTATCCTCTGGATATTGGCTGTCCTGCAATGAAAAGGCATAGGACAATTTAAATCAATTAAATTTACGAAAAATGTTCTATAGATTATTTCAATAGTAATAATACTTGTGGACATGGTGAAATCATTAAACATTTATTGAGAACATATTTTAATTATCTTAAGCACGAATCAACACTTAAAATATTATCAAATATAAATAAGTAAAAAGCATGTAGCAAACTTTTCAAACGTATTGCGACTTAATTGATTGGCATATTATAGGGATTCAACCTAACTAGCTGGACTCGGTTGCGCGAGACTTCGCTACGAGTGTATTTGGTTAACTGTTATTCGAATAATTTACCGACTTTGACGGATGCGGTGTATTTATAAATATACATTATAATTTTTTTGAATTTAAATTATTATTATTTTTTTTTTAAATATAGTTCATTCAGGAACATAAGCTTAAAAGGTTTTGCATAACTCGCGAAAATTCAATTATCAATTAGAAAAATAATCAGAATCTTTAGACAATTTTTGTATATGCAGGTTTATAGCCCGTTAAATTTCGGTATTAAAGAGTTGTGTTTATTGTAATTGTTGTATTTAGAAAATAAAATTTTGCTTAAAATCCTCCGAAACAGTACTTAAAAGTTTCATTTCTTCTGACAACTAGAGGAATTTACTGCAAAACAAGTTTGCGGCCATAAATACCCGTATACTTTTGTGTATCGTTCAGGAAAAAGATAACGCGTCTTTGGTATATTTACACTAATCGCAATTTAAATGAATAAATAAAAAAATTTGTCAAAATATAACCTCTCAAATTCCATAAAAAAAAAAACGATGTAGAATAAGTTTATCCACAACGTCAACAATGGCATGCTATTCAAAATGTGAATATAGAGTTATGCGTGATAATGACTGCCTGTCAGAGAAATTCCTTGCCACTAACTCTCTGAAAGTTATCGAAACAATTGTGTATGTACATATGTACATACATATGTACAATGGAATAGAGACCACAAGTGCTGCGGTAAACGCAAAAGAGGTAAAAGAACAAGGACACGCAGAGCAGCTGTTGCAAAGGGAGGCAAATACTTTCCAATTGCTTATACTAGATATTAGAGCCACTCCTACGAAATTCATATTTACATGCTCATTTGCACTGTAAGGACATGCATTGTGTGCTAACTTGTACAACTACCATGGAAAATTCCAGCTCAATATAAGACATCGCTTGTGCTAGTGTGGCCCAACAACAGCAGCAGAAGTAGCAACTATTCGAGAAATTTCATTGTACATATATACATACATATATGTAAGTATATACATGTAAGTATATATAGACCCTTTACTGAAAAACTTAACCAGTATGCACAAATTCCAATTCACGAATTATGATTTAAGAATGAAAGTCATACCAGTTCGTTATGTACTCTAACTATACCAGTTCCTCGTAAAAAAGTAAACTATTTGGTGAAAATTCTACTTCTATTAAGCGGCGGCCTACCAGTTCGACGATTGCCAAAGTCAAAGCTAAAATTCACTTAATTCCTTAATTTCCTCACAAATGTCGGCTGTGGCGTCGAGTGAAGACTACCGATTCTGAGAGTCCTGAGATCTCAGGTACGACTTCGCTTAAAAGTGGTTAAAGCAAAGTAAATAAGTAAATTATTTCAATAAAATATAAACTAAAAATTTTAAGTTTCCTTTCAAGCATACGCATATTTGCTAAAGGCCAGTATGCAGCTCTCAAGAATAGCAAAAAAACTTTACATAAAATGATCTACAAGAAATGGCTGCGAATTTTTCTTGCGTAAAATTTTCTTGAGGCAGTACATACACACGAAAAAATGGCAATTTTTTTCTTGACCGTTTTCTTGAGAGCTGCATACTGGCCTTAAGCACCAAATAGTAACAGGAAATGTGATAAGTGGCAAAGAATACAAAAGCTTTTCATTGGAAATCTACATAAATCCAAAATGACGAATTTAGAACTAGTTCGGAACTATCAAAAAGGGATAAGAGGATTGTACGATATCGCAATGTTGCTAGATTTGATATCGCAATGTTGCTAGAAATTGACGCGTAGTACACACGGTTCTAAATTGGCTAGAACTAAACCAGTTCGGCACCAATGTACAGGATACCTATTAAAGTGGTCCAAAAATGTATGTAAAATAATAAGGTCGGATTTTTAATGCCGCCACCCCCTAGGATCGTTATATACCGAAAAAAATATACCCATATTTTTTTATTTTGAAATCAAAAAATATTTAGGGAGTGCTCAAAGCGCACAAAGTTTTCCATGTATTTTATATGGAGAAAAAACTATTTTTCGTAGAAATGGTATCAAACTCTTGAAAATCAATATTTTTCGACCGGAAGACTGTGGTTCTCTTCAGGAGGCTTCCAGTATAAATATCCAATTGTTTATTTAACCATTTCTTATGATAAAAGATTTTTTACTGGTCCCCCCCCATTGCATTTTCTAAGGGCTTTGGAGGACCTATAAAATATATTTACCATGAAAAAATTAAAAAAAAAAAACAATTTAGTATTATTACTGGGAGTCTCCTGAAGATAAGAAAAGTTTTTCGATCGATAAATATTGATTTTCAAGAATTCTACACTATTTCTACGAAAAGATGTTTTTTTCTCTATATAAAATACATGGAAAACTTTGAGCGCTTTGAGCACTCCCTAAATATTTTTTGATTTAAAAAAAAAATTGGGGTATATTTTTTTCGATATAGATCAATCCTAGGGTGTGCCGGCATTAAAACTCCGACTTTATTTTTTTGGACCACTCTAATACCTATGTATACCTAAAAGGCAGCTGTAGCGGTGCTCATTCAGTTTATCTGGAATGACTTCTAAAAGTTTTTCTTCTCCATTTCAATCAAATAATCGGTCACTTATTATTTTCACCTACGATTACACCGTGCGACGAAAACGGAAAAATTTCAAAACACACAAAAGAATCGATATACTCACGAGACTGTGTTTTTAATTTTTCACTCTGACGTCAGGATATATTTTTCAAAGGACTTCGAAATTTTATAGATATGATTACTTAAAAAAATTATAAAAAAAAATCAGTGCAATGTGGAATAACAATATGGGTACCAAATGAGAGAGAAAATTCTGTTGACTTTAAAAACAATAAAGTTTTTTAGTTTACAAGGACGAATTGGTATTGAAAATGCGCTTTTTATAAATTTTATTTGCAGGACGAAATTCGATGATGAGGTCGTGCGAATATTAGTCCTCAAACAATATTTTTTTTTAAATATTGCAAATGTTCAAGGATATTTAAGCACAAAATTTTTAAAGCACATTTTCCATACCCATTCGTACTTATGCACCAAAAAATTTATTCTGCTATAATTCTACGGAGTTTTTTCTTTTATATGATACCCTTATTATTATCCTACATTGCACCGATTTTTTTTTAAATATTTTTTTTGAAATAATCATATTTTTTAAATTTCTAAGTCTTAAAAAAAAATCCTGACGTCAGAGAAAGAAACTAACTACTATAATTTACCCATAGTTTCGCGAATATATTCATTTATTTGTGTGTAAAATTTACTGTCGGCGTTATCGTACAAAATGGTCAATGTACTCTTTCCTATACTGTCAATAGAATGCAAGGAGAATAGTTATGTTTCATACTTAGAGAAGTGACAATGTCAAAAGAGGTAAATCGTATTAGCAGACTTTAGTGACATAAAATTCGTCACTGCCAGCGAAGATTGAGCAGAAATTATCTCAAAGTCAAAACCATAACACGAACTGTTTGAGTACTGGACCAAAATCTAGTCGTGTTATTTACGAAATTGCAATTGAAAATTTTCATACATTCACAAAATAAACCGCTGATTCGTTAGAAGAGAATACGGCATTAGTTTTCCAATCATTTTCAAATTGTTTCCCGAACCCAATGTTTATAGGGAAGTTTTGATTTTAAAATTTTAGCAAATCAAATTATGATATCAAAAATGAAATACGTGGGGCGCATGTGATAGACTTTTTACAAATGATTAAATCGATCTCAAATTGTGTACTTGCGCTATAGAAATTTTTGGGTCTATCTTATATAGTTTTAGTCTTGAATGAAATTAATGAATATATGGGAAAAAATGTTTATGCTTTTTAGCCTAAATAGCATATGTATGTGAAGTTTTATGGCCGTGCCGACTTTTAGTTGAAGTTTCAGTTAATAACTTTAATCAATCGTAATCTAATAATAAGACCTTTGCAAAGATTTTAAAATCAAATCTTATAAAGGCAAATTTTATGAGAGTAGGATAAATTACTTTCTACTCTTTAGTCCTTTTATAGGAACGTGGTATATTAAAAAGTTATTTTTTTATTTTATTTTTATTTTTAAATTTGTGCAATTGCTTCAGCAAGAATGGTGGGCATAGAAATTCTCTCCTGCCTGAAGTGGTTTCCAAAGTTTCCAAATGCATTGGATGTACATACATACATATGTACATGTATAAATACTCAGGTTATATATATATATCCTTATATTTATATCCTTTTATATACACATATATTATGTGGTTTTTTATGCGGATTTGAATTTATGCGGTTTTTCAAACCATATTGTTATTAAATTTTTTTAGGCAATGCTTCTGATAATTAATTTGTGTTTACATTCTTATATAATTCATGTATTTGTGGTACTTTTTTTGGTTTTGGCTAAAATACAGAAAAAAAAAATTATTTATTTAATTACTGTTCAGTTTTACATGGAATAACATGGAAAGTGTTGAAGTGAAGAAATAAATTGTTTTGCTTTTGTTTAATATTTCCTCACTGGATTTTTTATGCGAATTTTTGAAACTTTTTACATGGACTTTTTATCTGAATTCATGCGGTTGTTGAAAATGCTAGAACGCATCCCTTGTGTTTGTATGAAAGTAAAGAACTTTTTTATGCGGTTTTTTTTTTTTATGCGGCTTTCTGAGGAACGCATATACCGCATAAAAAATGGCCTAAGTGTACATAAATACACGCATTCATATCTACAAGGATGAGTCTTACTTATAGTATGTATGCAGTAAATATGTATAAGTATGAACAATACAACACTTACCTTCTTGTAGGCGGTATACTTGAGGTACTTATAGTGTTTATTATCGTATTTGATTTCCTCCGGTGTGAATGTGAATTGCGAATTTATGTGATTGTAATGCCGATTGTTATCATCCTTATCCTATGCACATACGTATTGTATATCGATGTATATTGAGTGGATGTTGCCCGATAATGGTGATAACGGTGAACAGCGACGCAAGAAGCCAATGCAAAATATAAACAGGCGCCAGTGAGAGCGGTGAGCGGTGCGACGAAATAACGTGTTCGGAAATGTGAAAACAACGATCCACACCAGTAAACACATTAACGAAAAGCAACGAAAAATGCGGCGTCCGAATTGGAGTCGAAAGCAATCAGCGGTAGCAATGTGGCATGTGGGTGGTGGTGGTGGTGGAGGTGCGTTGGTGCGTTGGTGCGGCAGCAGTGCAAAATAAGCGAAAAGAAAAAGCAAAGAAAGCACAATGGTTTAGAGCAATAGAAAAATTTGTTGTAGTAAAAAAAGGCGAACAGGCGGCGTTGTAGAAATTGAAGTAAAATTTACGATTATTATTTATTCAGGGAATTGCACAAAAGGTACCAATTCGCTGTGCACGGCTGTGCTCAAATTTATGCTCCACCTAAATCAATATACAACTCCCAAAATGCTTTGTCCCTTATAATCAAACACGAAAATTGTATATTTACAAGTACATATGTACTATGTATGTAATTATATTTTTATATACACAAGTATGTATATACATACATATGTGCAGGACGAAGAGTATGTATGGGTCCACAGTGAAGGTTTGCTGGTTGACAAACACAACTTTGAGAATAATCCTTATTTTGACGTGTAGAAAATCTAAACTATTAATTAACTGGTATAAACTGGTGGTGACGTTTACTAGTTCGGTAACTGGTATTACCTGATGCAGAAGCTGACTAGTTTGACAATTTCGAATCCATGCAGCCAACGACGAATGAAGTATTGAAGCCAAAGTAAACCCAGCTTTTTATAAATAAAATTAGCTCTAAGCTTAGGAGGTCTGCATAAATTTTTTTTTTTTTTAATTTGTATCAACGAAACAAAATAGTTTCGGCTATTTTGATTTTGTTTATTTAATGTTTATATTTATTTTATATTTAAAATTCAAGCGCTGGTTAGGCCACATAAATAATGCTGAATTTCCACTTGGAATCAAATAGCAAAAATGACAAATGACAAAGTTGGGCTTTAAAAAATAATCATTTCATTACGTTTTACGCATTTTTTTAAATGGCATAAATTTTTTCTTATTTAAATTTTAGATAAATCCACATTTCAAACTTCAAACAAAAATTATGAAAATTGGACAAACTTTAACATTTGCACCCGAAAATTTTAAACATTCAATTCAAAATTTAATTTTCAAAAAAGTTTTGGGTATGCAGTTTCGTAGCTTATTAAATTTTAGTAGGTTAAAGTGCAAATTTCAAGAAGCTAGAAAATCGTGTTGATTTTTAATAATTTTTTTGGCTGACCGTGTTGTGCATTTCGTTTCTATGGGTGAAATTGCTTCCGTTTTTCAAAGTTAGCCACCGAAATCGAGGTATGGGCCTTCGAAGTTCGAAATTGGACCTTATGTAAAAAATATTTTTAATTATCATATGTAAACAACTAAAAAGCGGTATATAACTTTACTTAACTTTTTATACAGGTGATATAAGGGGTCAAAGGTCAGATCTTCGAAAAATTAAAAACCTTATATTTCTAAAAATTTTGAACTTATTTTTAAGTCTGTAATATAAGTTTGCATACCGTTTAAATAAGAGAAAAGATGGACTGCGTATACATATATTTTAACTTTTTTAGTTATTTACATACAATATTTAAAAATAATTTTTTAACAAATTACCTATTGCGAACTTCGAAGGCCCATATCTCGATTTTGAAAGCTAACTTCGAAAAACGGAGAAATTACTTCTTTGGTTTGGTGCAATATCCAGAAAAAAAGTAAATTTTGCCGTGTAGTGTAATGATTGGAGATTATTCGTGCTTTACGTTTCAGCATTTTTTTTTTTGAGGATTTTTGCGGGTACTTTATGATCTTTTCTTGACTTTTCCGGGATTTTGCTGAACGGTTTAAAATAAATTCAAGAGTTTCAGAATACAATTACATCGAAAAATTTCCTTTTTGGTATTTATAAATATGATTAGGCGAACTGTTTGCCCCTTATTAACCGACTTCCAAAAAAGGAGGAGGTTTTTTTTTTGGCAAAAATTTCGCCTTATTATTTTTTTTTTTTATGTATGTTACCGCATAACTTTGCACCACGTCAACCGATTTCAATAATTCTTCATGGATCATGAAATATATAGATACATATATATATATTTTTTTTAAGTCGGTTTTTTTTTGCTAAAAATTACTTGTTTTTATTACAATTTTATGGTTGTTAATTCTTCCGAGAGAATTGGCAATTTCCAGGTTTTTTCTCAAAATTTGCAATCAAAGACTATGCCAATGCCGATTTGCATAGAAGCTGCTTATCAAATACTGGGAAATTCATTTTAGCTATCTGTTGCTGTTACTCTGGTTATCAGCAACACATTTTTATACCCGAGCGCACTTGTGCACAAGGGTATATTAATTTTGTTCACATAACGGTTGTTTGTAACAGCCAAAACGAATCGAGATAGATATAGACAAATGTATACATAAATGCTCAGAATGAATAGAGAAATTGATTAAGCCATGTCTGTCTGTCTGTTCGTCCGTCCGTGTACACGATAACTCGAGCAAAAATTAAGATATCTCAATGAAATTTGGTATGTAGGTTTCCGCTAATCCAAGGTAGGTTGGTATTGAAAATGGGCGAAATCGGACTGTAACCACGCCCACTTCCCATATAACGGTAATTTCCAGAAATACGAAAACTGCGATATTTTAGTAACTACTGAAGATAATTCACTCAAAATTGATATTTATAATAAACTTTAGACAAAAAAATAAGCATATTATAAATTTTTGGAAAAGGGGCGTAGCCACGCCCACTTATGGTTACATGTGTATATCTGGTAACCGCTGCACCAATTTCTTCCAAACTTGGCACAGTTGTTGGCCTTGATACAGCAAACTAAATGGCCGAAAATTTAAAAAATCGGACAATAACCACGCCCACTTCCCATATAACGGTAATTTTCGGTAATACGAAAACTGCGATATTTTAGTAACTACTAAAGATTATTCACTCAAAATTGATATTTACAACAATTTTCAGACGAAAAATAAGAATATTATAATTTTTTGGAAAATGGGCGTAGCCACGCCCACTTATGGTTACATGTGTATATCTTGGTAACCGCTGCACCAATTTCTTCCAAACTTGGCACAGTTGTTGGCCTTGGTACGGCATACTAAATGACCGAAAATTTTTAAAATCGGATTATAACCACGCCTACATCCCATATAACGGTAATTTAGAGAAATACGAAATCTTCGGTAAATCAGTAATTATTGAAGCTAATTTATTCAAAATTGATGCTTGCAAACAATTCTTCACCAAGAAATACGTTTATGATAAAATTTTGGAAAAGGGCGTGGCACCGCCCACTTATGATCACATATATGTAGCTCGGTAACCGTTTCACCAATTTGTACCAAACTCGGTATGGTTATTGTGCTTGGTAAGGTGAAAAAACATATATTTAATACTTGCGCCGGGTATTTAATGTTCGGCTCCGCCCGAACTTAGACTTTCTTACTTGTTTTTTTTTTTTTAATTTCAATGAGCAAAATTAACCCTCAAGTTCGTTAATAATACGCATAGTACTCGTGTGTAATCGGTTAGTTACGGTTCTTACTTCTGTTATACTTTACTTACATCCATAATAGCATTAAAATTGTTGCTATTCAAAGTGTTGTCCAAATTATCGTTCGAGTTGCCCAAAATATTATTACTATTGCTGTTGTCCTTGTACATGAGTTGTTGTTGCATTTGTTGTTTCTGCTGTTGTTGTTGCTGCTGCTGTTGTTGTTCAATTGTCTTCTTATATTTGGCATTGAAAGCGCTCTGGCGCTCATTCAAACGCTGCAAGCGTTTACCATCGGTATTTTCTGGCAAATAAAAAAACAAATAAATAACCCGAGAAATTTAGTAACTGTGAATAAAGAGAGTAAATAGTATGGAGTAGTAAATTTATTAATTAAATTATTAATTGTAGTTAGTATGGAGTATTCCTTAGTTCATTAGCTGAGGTGCTTCAATGTTTCCGAAGAAATTCTTCAGTATATATTTTGTTAAATAAATGAACAGAATAATGTTCGAAGGCTGTACGGATCCTGGATATATAGAAAAGACTTTCTCAGTCACAGGTGAAAGTAAATTTTGTTGCGACCCAACAATTTTTCGAATATTTCTAAATCTATGATTCTAAATGCAATAAAAAAAATCTTTCCATTCTGAATCTTCAACCAAAGAAGCAAGTTGTTAATAAAGAAGTACATAAGAAGAAATAGTTTGTTTTCATGAAAGAAAATTTTTGCATGCGGCTCTTAATCCTTGAACCAGAAACTTATCATCGGTCGAATATAAATGAACAGTGGTATTCCATTTGGCAGTCTCTTCCACATCAGCAGCGGGTATAATTATGACTATCACCACTTGCCTGCCGAAGGTCGATCGCTATTAGAAAAACCGAACTTGAATCTTGTTGTTGTAGCAGCGTTACCACAACCCTGCATAGATGGGTGAAGTTGTCAAGGGTGACCATAGACAGCATCATCTGAGGGTAGCTCTAGAAAAATTTTAGTTCCAACTAGATCTGCCCAAAAAGAAAAGGTTGTTAGATGAGTTTGAGTTTTAGTTAGTTGGTGCCGTGAGTTTCTATCTATATGTTGGACACACGTTTGGCGTTAGATCTAGATCCAGACAGTAACTGGATTGAAACGCGTAATCATGCGATTAGAAATGCCGTAATTCATCCTCAAGCCGTCAAACGTGACACTAAAAACTGTTTTGTTATAGAAATTGATGTGCCCTCAACATTGACGTATAGTATCATGTCATGTCCTAAATAAGGTCGCTAGGGGTCAGAAGCTACGAGGAAACTTATCTACTCCCTGTAGTCAAATGTGCCAGTTTTAAACTAACTTACAACAAGTATGAACCGCATGCCCAACTAGTCAGCCAACTATATTTTTCCATGAAATGAACTGGTATTTTTAACATGGATGGGGATGTTCTACAAGATGGCAATTGTCATATTTCGGTCAGAAATATACTAGTTCATAGTAAACAAAAAAATACTAGTCCAATTATGGACCGAAACCACTACTTTTGGCGTCAAAAAATTAAATGAATTCATGCATATATGTACAATAAAAAACGTTTGATTAAGTACACTATAATATATTACACATTTTTATTTAGCAGCCTTAGATTTGCCATTAATTAGTGTTAAATTTTTTGAGTATTATATTTCAACTAGTATTTTTCCAGACTAGTTTGGGGTTTCACTGCAGGGCTACGGTTTGTTTTTTTGGTTAAGTGTTTATAGCCCGGAGGGCAGTGGTGGTGCTGTGCACTTTCCGACCGCTGCGGTGCGATATTGTCTTAGCGATAAAAACCTTGGTACTCTTCAGAGATTATATGCTAATCTAACCACTTGTCTTGGACGGCTGCCAAACTTTTGATAAGCAAATTTTCGGGTTTGATAAGATGGAGTTTTTGAAAGCATACCGGAGAATGTACTTACATATATATTTTACAAAACTTTTTTATGAATGCAGAATCGCACAGAAACAATTATTTAAGAGAGTAGAGGTGAAAAATTAACTAAAACATTTTTATTTTAACAATACCACCACTAGGTTATATTCGTGAGGAATAATTTTAAAACCGCCATTTTTAATAGCCTTAACTTGTTTGTTTGTTTGCTTTTCATTTATTGTCCTTTAATGTGGCACAATACAAACAGGATTTAATAAAGCAGCTTAGTGTCTCAGCGATAGTAAATACATATGTACATACATATTTTTTTGCTGTGCGAAGCCACACGAAATGTTTTTGCTGTACATAACTTATGTGTATACATTGGTATATATGTACATGCATAACTATATATATTTGTATATATAAACTATGTAATTAGTATCGTGTAGTAAATTTACTAACATAAAGTCACGAAAACTGTTTACTCAATATATAGTGATAGGTATGTACGATAAATTAATAGCCCATCGCGCAGTGATTGCACATATTTTCTGTAGTTTTACTATATGTACGTACATATACCTATGTAGTAATTGCATTTGCATTGCGCATTTATGTACAGTCATGTGTGTGGTGTATTCATAATATTATTTGGCCATATCAAGTTAATAACATCGATCAATTTTCATTTTACGTGAACAGTGAAAATAAATTTCACACATGACATGAGCGCTAATTTATTTGTGACGATAGAAATACTGACATACATACATATGTTCAACATGCAGATTTTGGCAACAAACAAATTTTGTTATCGGTCATTATGATTAAAGTGCACCTTATCCTAACTCCAGTGTTAGACAGAAGGACAAAATGAAGAGTTTGTTTATCATTAAGATATTATGTGAGAACTATCCCCATGCATCTTGAACAACAAAATTCTACTTTTTGATAAATATTGTGGACAGTGTTGCCAAGTTTTGAATTTGAAAAAGCACTAAAACCCAAGAAAAATCGTGTTTTTTCTTAAAAAAAAAGCACACAATTTTTTATTGAGAATTTAATGGACTTTATATGCATACAAAAATTTATTGTATGTATACCGATTCAAATGAATGAAAATTAATGTTGTTGCTTGATTGGCAGTCGAATTCATTCTGTTTTCTATAAATTAAAATACTTTCGTTCAAACGACGCGACGTAAACCATTTTGTTCTTATTCTCTAATTTCCAGCGTTGCCGTTTTGCTTAGATTTGTGCAGTTTAAATATTAATTTTTCTTCGGTTTGCTTAATTTTTTCTACAAATCCTATCTAACGAAAGTAAAAAAAATCGGAAAGTAATTTAAAATCGGACAAAACCCAGGCCCACATAACGGTAATTTTGGCAAATGCGAATTCGTCGATAAATCATTAAATACTGAAGCTAATTTATTCAAAGTTGATGCAATTATTCAAAATTGGTTAGCAGAAAATACGTTTATTATAAAATTTTGGAAAATGGGCGTGGCACCGCCCACTTATGACCCCATATGTGTATCTCGGTAAACTTTCGAGTAATTTATACCAAACTCGGTATGGTTGTTGTGCTTGCCACATAAAATCAAAACGCTGAAAATTTTTGAAATCGGACTAAAATTACGCCTACCTTTTATATAACGGTAAATTTCATAAATGTTTGAAGCTTCGATATTTCAAAATTTGAGGACGATAATTTTCACAAAATTGATACTAACAACAATCCCTTGAAAAGAAGTAACATTATTTGGAATTTTGGAAGAAATAGCAGTAGAATCACCCCTGCATGTAGCGGTATTTTTCGGAAAGGTGAAAAAAAACTATATTTAATACTTGCGCCGGGTATCTAATGTTCGGCAGAGAGCGGCAAAGGCATTGCTGATCGCCATCTTTAACATTATTTCTGCCACAGGCAGCAGCACAACTTTGGTTTGGCTGTTTTCAATAATCAGTTTTGCAAACAATACATACACAGTTATGTACATCTCAAAATGAATGCATGTCACTCATAAACTTATCAGCTTAAACGTAATTAAACTAATTAATATTATAATAAAAAAATTGTGTAAAACCTGCGTCAGTAAACCACAGGAGCAAATGAGTATAGGCGGTTAAAATCGAAACAATGCAACAAAAAATGTTGAACATAATTTACATAAAATAATTGAATGGAAAATATTTACATTGAGTGCATAAAAATGCCGGAATGCAGGATACAGCATTTAAGTGGTTGACGTTGCAGGCGCCATGCCATACAGTGGATACGCTCTTAGCCGAGCGCAACAGCAGTGGTAATAATGAAGAGGTTGCTTATACGCCGTGACACGCATTCGAATTGGCGAGTGTAAGGTAAAAGTACATATCGGTCATTTACTAAAAGACTGTCATAACTCAAAAAACGAAATTTTTTATAGCAAATGGTGGAAGTCGGTGTCTTTTTCCATTCTACCAAAATTTATTTTTGCCGCGCATTGCAATTTTACTATCTTTTCCCTTTCTTTTGGTGAAGGGCACGTCGTAGGGGCACTCTAGTATTTTTATTGGCAGCCCCTTTTTAAAGCTTCATATCTCAGTAGTTTCATGGCTGCCTATATTTAATATAGAGGCATTGTTATCTTCATTGCAGCCCATCTAAGTGGTGAATAGCTTTTCTGCGTTAAGTATATTCCATATTGAGCTTTCTTGGGGCTCGAACCTAATATCGCCTAGTTTCGCTTTACAGTTTTGCGCTTATTACATTAGGAATAACTTTGGGATTGGTTGAAGTATCAAGCAACGCGCAAAGGGCTCAATATCTGCTTATACTGCAATTTCAGAAAGCAGTTGCATAAGTAGTCACACCTTGCATGTAAAGTGTCTTTCGAAAGAAGCTTTTTGTTCTCGAAAGCCGAAATTTTTTTAATGCTTTTTGGCTGTTCACACACTTCGAATGAACTTCTGAAAATCTTTCTCGATAACGAAATGCAACTGGGAGCCACTTTACCGCTTGTTCATTATTTCTCTTCGTTATAATGAACGTTATTTTCAGTTTAAAGAATAATTTATTATAACAAAACAATTAAATTCCGTAAAATAACACAGGTTTACAAAGAAAAAAAAGCTGTCTGCATATTGAACCAAACCTCTACATCCCTATGTTAATCGACGCGGTGAATGCAAATCCGAGGTCAATTGGCCCCCCCATCACTTCATGTTCGAGGTTATTTGAAGATAAAATAGGGAAAGATATCATTAAATAAAACTAAAATTCATATATATATATATATATATGGGATTTTAGACTCGCTGAATCCGAATATGAGGTCCGTTAACCTCCATAATGTCAGCTTCGAGGTCATTTGAGGGACAAATAGGACAAACAAGTTATTCAATAAAAATAAAAATAAATTTGTTTGTGTATTTTGAATTTTGAATGGGGTCCCTTTATTTTTCAATGAATTTTTCCCTACTTGAGCTTCAAATGACCTCGAATCTGGCATTATGGAGGCTTACAGATCTCGAATTCGCATTCAGGAACTTTTATATTGTAAATCTGTGAAATTAGTTAAAATCATCAGAAATCATTCAAAATTATCCGTTATTATTTTTCACAAACTCGCGAATAGTGTCACACAGCAACACACGATTAGTTTGACAGCACTTGCAGCAGAAATAAAAATTGCTAGTGCAGCACAAGTAAGTTGCAATATATATGAGTTTTCGAAATCGGTTTTCGCTCTTTCTTGACTTTTATTTCTGAAACTGGTTTCCGAAATGTGTCAGAAAGGTCTTTCTGGCTGTTCACCACATAAAAATAAAATTTCCCTTTCTCAATTTGACATCGAATTGCGTGGACAAGTTGGTAATATTGCCACGTCTGACACGCCCTTAACTCTCCTAGAAAGTTGTTTCAGTATCTAAATAAGAGAAATGGCACACTGATGGCTCAATGACCGACGAGGGTACCGGGGTAGGGTTAGTTGGGCCTAGGTTAAGATACTTGGAACCCATGGGAAAACATATGTACATATGTCTACTCTCCAGGCTGAAACATATGCCATAGAAAGAGGCGCGGACTTTAATATCAAGCCAAACTACCGGAATTAGAACATCGCTATCTTAATTGACAGCCAAGCGGCTATCCAGGCTCTCAGATCTCACCAGGTAACATCTAAATTAGTGTTGGAGTGCCTTGACAAGCTGAATACTCTTGGTCTGACCAATCAGGTTGGGGTTCTCTGGATTCCGGGACAGGTGCATAAACCCCTTTCACCGGCCCAGAGCCCTTCTGTGCCTAGGGAAAAGGGGCACGCTCTGAACTCGTTCGGTTAACAAGTGCCAGGTCTAGAGCAGTCCAAAGCACTTTTAGGAATATATAACCTAAAACGCAAAGAAAAACTTAAAAATTGTTACAGAAATCCTGACAGGACACTGCCGGCTGCTTAAACTGGGAATTTACTCGCAAGAGCGATGCAGATTTTTCAGGACGGAAAACGAAACTGCATCTTAGAAGAATGTCCTGCACTGAGATGCACGAACGCAAAATGCACCTGGGTGAACATCTGATAACCAAAGGCGATTTAGGTTCCATAATCATTTTTGAGATCGAATACTTTTGTCTCATTACTCTTTAAATGTTGCAACATCATTTCAAATGCAAATGCATCCATTTGGCTCCTAAAACCTAATGTAAGCACCAGCGGCAACTGCAAGTTTTCATTTGTAATTTCAATTTTATCAACGCAATATGCTTTGCTCTTTTTCCAATTGGCAAATTGCAAATTGCAGTGAAAGCATGTCAACTGGCGATTTACTTTTCTACAGTATTAAGACAACTTCATTTTTACAAGAGCTCCTTGATACATAAAAAAAAGGACTATTGAGTCCTTTACCACATACATACATAGGAATGTCTAGATGGTCACCCAGCAAGTAATTGTATATATTGGGGCCTGCCCTTCTCAAACCAATTGCTTCTTCTTGATTTCAATGCGGAGACGCTACAAGTTATTCGTCGACAAAATTTATACTAATAATGTCTGCCTTTACTTACCCTTGCATGGACAGAATCCCTTGCAGGCTATCCTTATGATTGTTGAATGTATGCAGTTGTGGTAATCCAATCTGCATAGCGATGAGTATGTACGGTTGTCGGCGCCGCATAAGAAAGTTGGCTTAGCCACCGGGCAGGGCTTACAATTGCTGAGAGAGAGCAAACGGCGGCGGACGGTAAGTGTGCGGTGTTGGTGTTGTTGGCAGCGAGGGGTAGACAACAATTGGCTCAGCATCGGAAGTGGATGGATGGATGGTAGGCATGGTTGCAACGAGATGCAACGGCACGTTCAGCAGCCACAGAGTAGCGGATAAGCGAAGAACAGCAGCAGCAGCAGTTAACCAAGCATCAGCATGAAAGTAGAATAAAAGAGAAGAGAGTTGGAAAAAGGGCAAGCGTTATTGAACAGTTGAATGTTGAATGCAGGAAATCGTTTTGGTTGTGGCACGCAAAGAGAGAGAGAGCGAGTAAGTGAATGAAGTAGTGGAAAATTAATTTCTTATGCAAATTTTAGTCCAATGGCAGGCAGCGCCAGTCAGCTGCCAGTTAACTTGAAATATTTCACACAGAAATGCATACACACAGACCATACATACATATGTACATTAGACCGTACCCAAAAAAGAAAAATAAGGATTCGTCTTCCAACTCCAGGTTTGAATTCTTTCTGCAGGGCATTTCTGAAAACAATTATTTTTTTAACCGACTTAAGGATACAATTTCTTTGTGTTCCAAAATTCATTGACCTTAAGTACCCCGTTCTAGTACTTACCCTCTAGATCTCATTTCTTATCACACTAACGTACCACCCTAATATCGGTAAATTTAACCTCACCAAAAATCATTAAACTTTTGCTAAGAAAGTGAATATGTATTTTTATTATCCTAATAGAACTATTTAGCGTAAAAAATATTCCTGAATTACTAAAAGTCGACCTCCAAGGTACGGCCAAAAAATTTATTTTTACTTAATTGCCTGTCAAAAGTACTTTAAGAGTTAGGAGTGTACGGCGAACGTTTGTTTGTTTGCTGGTAAGATGGTTCGGTCTAAAATACATATCTTCATAGTATAAATTGGGTTAGGTCGTGAAGGAATTTAGTTAATTACCCACCCTAGTTTGGAGAGCTTACTTTGAGAAGAGTTTTGCTTCTTAACAATTTGTGGCTGTGCTGCATTACCCTTAAAAATCGCACTGCCTTAAACCGAGCGATACAATTTTTTACCTAAATAAATGACTACATACACTCAATTTTAGTTGTAATAACGAATTTTTCAAGGGTACTAAATATTTGGCTAACTTTAACTTTTACCATTATTTTTGTTTTAATTTTCTGAATATATGTATGTAGCCACTTGAAAGACACCGGTATCCCTCTAGGTGTACTTCTGTCTTAAACAAAAAAAAAACACCTTCCATATAATAAATAATACTGGTAGTGTCAGAGTTACTGTCGAAATTCGACCGGTTTTCTAGTTTTTTCAAGAGCCTTGGAGAGTTTTCCTAATTTAGCACGTCGTTTAACTTATAAGGTGACTACAATTTTTTATATCTTTTTGGTCATTGGAGGACTTTGGCAGGACTTGGAATTGATCCTCCGATAATTTGATGTAACTTTGAAACCATACAAATTCTCTTCATCTACAGAAAAATGTATTCCATATGGTGTTCTTGATTTTCAAATCGGTTCTGTAGAATCGCCAAACGAACGGTGGCAATATTTATGTTAGAGTACTAATATATATAAACATGTAAATAGATATCGTAGGCGCCTTTAAGTTTGTAATAGCATCAAGACGCACACTACATGATGTCATATTTATGTAAGTACATAATTTTTTATATTATTAATTATATGTACATAGTTACCAGCGTGATAACCAGCGTGAGCTAATTTATTGAATATATTTTGAATATCAAGTGGCTTTTAAAAGTCAATAGGCTCTCTGTTAAGATCATAAAAATAATGCTATTTAACTTACCAAACAAACCATTTGGTCCTTGACAATGAAAAGAATAAACTCAAATCAAGGGCGAAAATCACTATAGGACAATGATAATAAATTTGCGATTCCTTTCATCTTGAAAAGGCGCTTTAGACGTTTTGAAAACGCATAGTGGCGTTTCCCTTTTTTTTCGTTTCGATAAAGCAATGATTTAAAGCTTTTGTCAGAAGTGAAACGTTCGGCTCCGATCTTTTGCGAGTACAAACAAACAATTGATAACACAGCCTAGTTACATGACCTTTTCAAACAAGTTCGAGATATTCGGTCAAGTTTATGAATTCCACAAATTCGAACCGAACGTTGCGCAGCTTTTTGGGATTTGTAATGAACTCTAGTTATGATCTGAATTCGAAATCAATTGGTAGCAATAAAATGCTAGTGATAGCCGCCGCATATGTAAAAGCCGAACCTCATACATATACATAATAAACCTAACTAGTAAATTGTTTTTAATCGACTTAAAAAAGGAGAAGGTTATCAATTCGTTGGAATATTTTTTTTATGTATGTAAATTTGGACCACGTCAACCAGTCTCGATAATTCTTTTTCTATCGGAAAAGTAGTGTCTACGAGGTGGCCCCATACTAATTTTGTTTAGCTCCGGTCATCGGATCCTGAATAAATTGACGGTACTCCTAAACTTTTATATAAGAATAGAAGTCGGTTGTGTTTTTTGCTTAAAAATTACTTGTTTAATTTTGGTTAGTAGTTTATAATATTTAATTTCCTATATATAATTATTTAATAACAAATAGTGATGCCCTGTACAAATACACCCACACATAAATATGTATGTACATACATACATACACAATGGAATGTTGTGAGCCCTAGCAGCTGTACACTTTTATTAAAAATTCAAATACATATGTACATATTTAGATACACTCACATTTTGGCGATTAGTTTTTCGTTTTGCCCATTCCAAAATAATCTACCATTCAAAAATAATGATAGGACACTCTTTTACTTCCCCGCATACCACCCACCA